TTGTTTTATGGTAAAAATAAAAAAAATAGCCGTTCTATGGTCGGCCTTCAAACACATGACCTATTCTATGTCACCGTAATTGGTGTACGTATGAAAAAGCTTTTTTTCTTTTTATAAAGCTCTTGACATCTCCCCCCCCCCCCCCCCCCGTCCTGAGTCTTTACACTACGAATTCTACAACAACATTCTTTGATTTTGACCTCATCTTTACTCTGCTTGCTAAGCTGGATAATACATGCAAATTTTGCTCTTTTACTGTTAGCTCTCCTTTTCATCCCTTTTCTTCTTTTCAGCTAACTCACCAAGGTTGATTTGAGTGTATTTTTACCACCACCGATATAGATGGAGTGAAAAATAAACGTGGTGAAGTAAATAAGTCGTAAGACCTCATCTCTAGCGTTTTTCTCACAAACTTACAATTGATGACTTAATATCGAATGAAAACATTGGATATTTGTTTGCTTGTGAGAGTTGAAATTCTGAAGCATTTTTCACGGTTATGCACGACAACATTCCCTATAAAAAGACCTTCGCGCCCCTTTCCCGATAAGAAATTTCCCCATGACTGCTACACGTACTATTGGTTGAAGGCGGTGTCTGAGCAGGTTATCGTCCCCTATTTAAAGTGAAAGGTGATCAGAAAGTCTCAAATAAGGGCATTCAATCGGCAGCTCGTACGATCGAATTTGCACAAAAATTCAAAACTGATCTCACTAAGACCCTATTCTCTACAGTACTCAGAGACGCTGATTGGACAAAGACTTCCTTTTCGAAGAGAGAGTTTTGTTGTGTTTCTCGACCATAACTAATTGATTATGTGGTCTGCTGTCCCCGCATCAGGACCTGATAATAAATCGAAGTGTACAATCCTTGAAAAACATACAATTTCATTTCAAAGTACTTTGTTACCCCAACACCACAGATACTTTTTCTTTCAGGAGGTACAATTACCAGTAGAAAGCCTGAAAATCTGAATAAATTGTTGAAATTTCTTTGCCATACGGCTCAGATTACCAATTCCTGCAGAATTACATTGTTGTCTTATCCATTGGAGCTTAATCTGGACTGTAAATTGCTTGTTCTGGATTATAGATTTCCAAATTCATTCCTAGCCGTATGTTGTTATTTTGCCTGACTCGCGCTATTTGTCATCTATCAGTCAAACCACACATCGTGCTGAAGCTTGCATTCTAATGCGATTCGCGACCATGTGCACATAAACATCGTTAGCGTAGTTATATAGTGTTGTTATGAATCCCACGAGGATACTCGTAATTGGAATGCGCAACCAGTGCGATTTTTCCTAGCTTTTTGCAGCTTGTCAATTTTTTATCCATATTTTGTCCTCAAAAATTTTCTAGTCTTAGTCCAAAATTTCCGTCGTAACCGACTTCAAGAAGATATAGATGAGGGGACTCATTGTTCTGAGAGAGGGAGGGGGAGTGATCCAAATTCTGTTGACCAAACTAGTAGCCGTTCTTCTACCATTTGAACATTACAATGTTTCAAACACAGACCGAGAGGAGGGGGGGGGGGGGGGGAGGGAACTGAGCAGAGGGCACAAAAAAGTCGCAAAATTTGTTGTTGTGACCCACATGTTTGAATCATAAACTTATGCGAGAGTCTTATCTTATTGTTGGTGGTAAATAATCAGAGCAATTTTACAATCTCTTATGAAACTTGGATTATTTTTGTAGATACATATTTTGGGGGGGGGGGTTGGGGGAGAGGGAGGGGTGAGGGAGAAAGGAGAAGGGGGGGGGAGGTGGTGCCACGTTATGAGCTTGGAAGGCTTTTAGAGATTTCTTCGATTGTCTCGCCTCGCCCCCTCCCCCTCCGATCCGAAAAATCTTTGGGGATCCTCCTAGATAATCTAAATGTGTGATAATAATTTCCTTTTCGCGCAAAAATTGTCTTAATTCTCTTCGTCTTTTCAAGTATGCGATAAACTGTTTTCAATTTGAAAAATCTGATTCATGTATTATATAAATTTGGATTTTTGTAGAATTTTCGTGGAAGCGGCCATTCGCCGCTTCACAAAAGTGTAAAAATTAAAAGGTAATCCTTTCCTTTCCTCTAGAAGTGCGCTGTTTAGGTTTTTTGCCGCTCGTACCGCCGCAGCCACACTCAAAAGTTTCTATACAAGGGCCGGTGCGATTTTTGATAGAAGAACATTCTTTTGTTTCTGCGGGAAAACAATTCCTGGTATCACCACTAGTCTCGGATAACCTGGAAATTGGAAGAAATTTCGGTTTTTGCCCAGGTTTTATCTTTCTCTTCCACTCTCCTTCCACAAATCCTACACTTATTAGCTGCGCAATACTTCTCGCCTCTGCCTATTCCATCAAACATCGGCTCGTAAATCCACTCCCCATCGGAACAGTGGTTGATGTATCCCACTGGGAAACATGCTCTCATTATGGTCGACGGCCGGCGCCGACTAGCCGCTGGGACCGCGCGAGACCCTTAGCCTTACTGAGGTTCGTCGGAAGTCGACGATGAACCGAACGAACCCCATCGACCGCCATTCCCTCGAGAATTGATGGGTGGATGTTGTTCGCATTTTTTAGCGGAAATGATAAATTTTCACACTTTTGCAGTCTTGAGATTTAGCGCGGCCTGAAGATTTACGAAGCTTGTAAAGTTGTAGATTTATGGCTCATATGTTTGCTGCACTTTTATGCCCACTGAAATGAGAAGGATTTCTTAGTGAAAAAAATCTGAAGATCTTTTTGCCTGCGGTACATTTCTATGATCTGCAATTCTGCATGCGTTTTGTCTCTAAGCAACGATTGACTAAAAAATTATTAACATGAAAATTACATGAAACCCCAGAGAAGCACCAACTTTCTAGGACATGTGTGGGTAAGAAGCTAATTGTAGACTAATTTTCGCCTTTTTTGGGCTCTTGTTTTTATGGTACTGCAACAGGGGTCTTTTTGTGCATAAAAATTGTATCGGAACGTATGATTTTTGTCTGTCTTATCTCAAAAAATATACAAATGTTAATTTTTGTGGTTTAAGAATTGAAATCTTTTCCCCTTCAAGAATGCGTAGTTTCAAGGCTTCCCGGTCAATTTTTCATTACAAAATAATACAGGGCTTCACGTTTCCTGTAATTTATTCAAAACCTCTGAAATGCTCTGGGGCCTTTGTGCAGCTTGACGAAAAAGGGGAGTGGTTAGGGGCGGGGTTGTCTGGAGCTCCACCTTTCAAACTTGAACATTTTCGCAAGTAGTTTGACTTCCTACTCGTAGTAGCAACTTTCAAGTAAGATCGTTACAAAAATACATTTTTTATACTGTAGAATCCCTTAATGGGCGGTAGCTTTTATCTGTACTGCAATTGCTCAAAATATGGGTGTTGTTGTTATCTCTTTCCCACCATTTCCAACAATTTCTGTAAATTCAAAGGCCTTTTCGTTCCTCTTGTAGTCAATGTTGTCTTTTTGTGATTCAAATTTTCATAAGTGTTGAGAATTCGAGAAAATGTTGATTTTGAGTGGGCGCATACCTTCCCCCTTTCCCTCATATTCATTTCTCGCTGGACTTTCACTCTTTCAAAATCCTTTTAGGACTAATTGCAGAGACTCAGCAAAAGAAGTTTTTTCTAACTACAAGTCTGGGAATTTTCGGCTTTTCCACTTTAGCTTGCTTGTTTTTATCTTGAGAATGCGAAGAGACGCTAAAAGCCTCAACTACAAATTCCTATGCAACTCTTCTGCTTGCAAAGTTCCAGGTTATTTGTTTCGATTTTCGTTATGGGAACTTTACATGCAGCATCCATGTAATTTTCCTCTATTTGCTTTCCCTCCTGAAATACGAAATTCTATACCATCAGTCATGTCAACACCAAAGTTTTTCAAAAGCGCTTTTTCTATCAGAAACGGAGCGAGAGGCATTCCTCTCCTGTTTGCAGATAATTTATGACCTATGCGTTCACAAAGCCTTCGCCACATCTTTTGCTCCATACATATTGCCTAGGAAGCTGAGGCAAAGAAGGTCTACTTCATCAAAAATGTTTTCTTTTTCGAAATTTTTCTTCTCCCTTCCTCCTCGAAAAGAATAGAAAGTTCCAGGATACCATGTCACTCTAGAAAAGAATAAATAAGTAACCTGTCTTTTTTCCTGGTTCTCCCCTTTCTTCCCCTTTATCGGCCTCAGTTGAGATTGAAGCATAATTCTTGCACCAATTATCTAGAAAGATTCATTCAAAATTTTAGGCGGCCAATCATGTTATTTTTTAGGTCTAAAAAATTCAAAAAATCCATTAGAAATATTTGGCGACAGTTTTAATTCATGGTGTTTTTTCGTTGTGTATAATATATTTATAAATAATTTGTAAATGTTAGAACTGTTATTCTGAACAAACTCAATGCAAGGTTTCTCTGTCAGCCTTTATGGCCGCGATATAACAGTAGTAGTTTTTTTTTTCAAACTAATTTTATCATTTATTATTTCAAAACATAGCAATGTTCATTTTCATTTTTTTATCTACTAACAATTGTCTCCTTTATCTTGATAAATCATACATACTCACCTATGATTTGTATGATCAATTCGATGGTATTTTTGAGGCTTTGTATTGCGTTTATTATCTTTGATAGTGTGACTACTTGTCAGATTAATTTCTATTATTTTGATTTTTTTTGGTGTAGTCGAGGTAACGAATAATAAATACAAATAAATAGGTTCACGAGCTCTCATAGTGCTTCAAGACTCATATTTTGAGAGCAAAAGAACATAAAACTTGTCGTTCGCATTTGTTTTGCTCCCATTTGTAGCCGCAAATGAAAATGATTTAGAAGCACATTGAAGTTTACGAAAAGCTTTGGTTCTCCTTGGCAATACCTCTTATGAGATTGGCAAAAGTTGAGAATTTTTTTGGAGCTATAGTCCTAACAACTATCTTTCTCGCTATTTTAATTATTCTCATTTCGTTCGCAAAACAACGCTTTGTTTCACTTTCTCACCTCCTAAAATGTTGAAGACTTTTCTTGCAGAAACTACTCGAAACCTAGCATCATTCATCTCATGGAAATAATGTAACACATGCGATGTATGCAAGAAGTATACTCTTAATCGCTTCACTACTACAAGGTAAGCGAATTTGCTTATAAATTAATTTCTGACTCAACTCCTCAATCTCTTTTGAGACAATTTCAGATGTCTTAGCCTCTTTCTTACGGGTGGAATCCGGCCATCAGCGGATACTAATTGATGGACGTGAGTTTGTATTTGTGGTAAATTTTCAACCGACGGAGCTGTAGGATAGCTTATCTAGTGAGGTCAAAAGAGGGAGAGAAAAATTGGAAAAAAAAAGAAAAGATGAAAGAGTAAAACATCGCATGATTTTTTGCCACCTCGTTCCTGGCATGTTTCTCAAAGAAATCAACAGGGATTCATTGATTTACAGTCACATTGAGCTTACTGAGTTATAGCCTTTTTGCAAAACTTATGACAATTTTTATTCTCATAAATCAGATTTTAGGTGATCCTTATGTTGGCTTTTTCACGCAAATTGAGTTCAGTGAACTTACCTGTGTAAGTGCCGTAGCTATACATTGTCTTAAACCATTAACTGGTGCTGAAGAAATGTAAGTTTTATTTAACTGAATCAAAGCTTCAGTAAAAACTACCATTTTTTAGTGATATTTTATATTCTGAATGTGAACGCGACCATTGGAAAGTCGCACATTACACTAATACAAAAGAACTCTACACTTTGGGAAAAGTGAGTCATCAATCATGGTTTATCAATTTTCTACACCGATCGGTTCCTCTCTTCAGGAAGTATGGGCACGACGGTTATCAATAGCAAGCCCACTTGAGCTTTCCATTATTGACGTTCAAGTGGAGTCGTGTGGGAGCAGTAACTCAACGACGACGGTGTAAGTGCAAAGTGATTGCCTAAAAATTAATGTCGATCTTCGGGGGGGGGGGGGAGTATACAGGACTGCTCCTGACGAGTCTATTGTTTCATGATTGGCTTACTGAGCTGAATTATTATGCGTAGACAGTCAGTATGCAGTTGAAATATGATGGATTATGTACGAAGCAGGAAAGAGGAGGGAAGTGAGGGTAGAGACGAGGAGGATGGTGTTATTTTTTCTCTGAATCTAGCTCAAAAAGTTTCATGAGTGCGACTACCTTTCATCTGTAGACAAAGAAGATTCCTCTTGTTGTTGATTTCTAGATACAATGTCCTTTCCTTACAAAGAAACAGAAACAAACTCTAACACAAATTTCTTGCTCAAACAGAAAATCTGTCATTTTGTCAAAAGTTGCCGTATCCTGCCAGAAATTGACACTTCAAAAAGAACACAAAGCATTTTCTGAGTTTTCTAGACAAACTACTCAACGTGGAGTCTTAAGCTGTTTTCAGAAATGACTGCCGTCCATCACGAATACATCCTCGACGTCATGGTAAACAAAAATCCGTAATCCGCGCTAAAGATTATGAACGGCGACGGCGAAAACGGTATTTTCTCGCAATTAGTACAGCAACTAAAAATGATACAAAAGACATCTTCATTCGAATTTCAGGTCCATTGAATACGTGCTGCCAGCTGTGTATCGTACCGATGCGTCTCCATATGAAATTCCTGTTGATGTCGTAATACCTCATGATAGGACGATATTGGTCCAACCTGGAGTTGTCTTACGCTTTGGCGACGATGTCGGCCTCACTATATATGGTACGCGCGCCTATTGTAGACAGAGACACACTCAGAACAAGTGTTAGTTTGCATCGAACTGAGGTGAAAGTGCTGTGTTCAGGTGTTTTGATTGTGAACGGGACGGAAACGGCACCGGTGATGTTCGAACCACATGGTGAAAGCTGGAAAGGACTAGAATTCATAAATGGTGGGAGGTGTTGATAGAGTTATTGATGCGAAGTTAAGGATTGATTTTGCCGAAAGAATTTGGGGAAAATTACATTCTCAAATAAACTTTCTATCACAAGTGACAAGTTCAGCTGCCCAACCATCCCTACTACGCTATGCGAACGTAAGTGGAAGCTTACTAGGAATCACTGTTCGGAGTGGTATACCGCCAGAACTTGATAATGTTATATCCACGTCAAATCAGTACGGGTTTGACATTAAGGTAATTTAGAAACCGATACTTACTTTGTTTTAATTGCGGAAGTTGCAGACCACATCAGACGTACGCATCATCAGCTCGTCAGCTTTGAACAGCGAGAAAACTGGTTTCCGGATATCAACCAAGGTAGCGAAACTTGCTACATGATGTCCATATACAGTATGATGTCGTGGCACCACCTTCCTCACTGTCATCACTTCTCCATCGCACATCCACTGGTGGTATTGTTGTCCCCCCGTCGACACCTGCACCAGTACCGTGTCACTTCATCATTTGGAAGACTACGTCAACTGTGTCTTGAGCAGTTCTCAACTGCATCTCGAAGCACTGTCAAGCAAAGAATCTCTCTTAGTGCATTAAGCAAAGTGCTGTGTGCTTGTTCTTGCATTGTGTTTGGAAACCATGATTTATTTATCCGAGTATATAATAAATGAGTCGGTTCAGCCTATATTAGCGTTTTCGCATCAATTTTGCTCACACTTTATTCAGTTGCTTTGATTAACTGTATTGCAGACTTTACGCACTAACAATAAGCAGGTAAATGGTAAATACAGATCTGAGGTATATATAAAAGCAAGTTGTAAAGTTTGATTTACGCTCTCCTTCTTTCTTTCTTTCACTTCTTGACCTGGAAAGTCTTTATAAGACGGTAATTATTGCGATGTTGCTCTTCACTACTCGTATTTTTCTATAAGCCTTCAGGAAGATTCGAAATGAGTCCAGAGCAACTGCACATGCGCCATGCAATCAATGTATCAAGAGCGACATAGAATTACATTTTGCGAATCTGTCTATAGACTTGATTGCCAGAAGAATATAAGCACAACATCAATTATCCACTGCGATGGTGCTGACCTGATTCTGTTGCATATACGACGTTCGGATATATTATGCGTTGTATTGTCATAAACATAATAAACTGATAGCAAAATCAAAAATTCCGTGTCTCTTTTCAAGAGGATACGGTCTCAGGTACAGAATCAGCTAAACGGGAAAGATGGAAACATGGAGTAGGTTAGCTATGGGTTGGGTCAGACGCGCATACCGCGTGCACTGCCATAGGCATGCCCGCGTACGCATCTCAATGTGACAAAAGCATGCATCAGATCACACACTTTACGCTGTGTCCATAGTTCCCCGTCATACCAAAAAGATGTAAATCTGCTCAAATCAAGTGTGTTGATAGCGAAAAAGGGAATTAGCAGGGGCATATTATTCGTATCAGACATGTCCCCATGGGCATAAAATTGCTGAACTTATGTGAGAGTAAATCAAAAGTTAAACATAGATCGAGTGAATAGCAAACTATAACGGATCAGGGCGGAGGATCACTGCCTACTTGTATAACACTATAGCGATCACAGTTTATTTAGCTAGAATTGCGAAACACCTCAACTTATTGTGTGAGTCTCCGGGTTGGGCTCCTTCATACTACGCCGCAGGACGCAGCAGCCTGCTGCACCCTGCCGCCTGCGATGTGCGCCGCTGCACTCGCAGCGAATATATGCCTATGTCACCGTAGTTTTGTAGTTTTATCGATGTTCCTCCTCTGTGCACGTTCGCATTCGTAGAGATTTAAGGCTGCGTTCATACTGATCCCGAAGTCCGGGAACAGTTCCAGCACATTGTTCAAACTAAGCGTTGTGCTGAGACTGTTTCCGGACTTTAGGATCAGTATGAACGCAGCCTAACAGCCTTTTCTCTTTTGCCTTGTCTCATCATAGGTTCAGCGGTTTTTCACTTAGGTTACCGAACTTGTTTCGCTTCATTTACTTCTCAGTCAATGAATTCAGTGCTATTCTGTCGAGTACTACTCACATGAGGTTATATATTTTCATTTTTTGAATATTTTCGCTGCGATTGCAGTGGCGTACATCGCAAGCTGCCACATCCTGCGGCGTAGTATGAAAGATCCCGCTGGGCCAGGCTGTGCGGAGTACGGGCGTACGCGATATACGCAGAGTGCAAGTGCATAAAATATGAGGCGTACGCTGCGTACGCCCCCGTGCACGCCGTACGCCGTGCAGTCTGGCCCAACCTTCGAGGATCAGGAAAGGCAGAGCAAGATACATTCTAGTTCCATAATTACGTAACGGTGTCAAAACTAAGCACGAGGTACCTAGATATACAGGGTGTCCCAAAAAGATAAAGATCTGTGATCTTCAATAATTCTCTTGTATGGAAAGCTTTCGTGGTTTTCAAAACTCTAAAATGCAAGGCTGGCTGCAATTTAGATTTGCAGCATGAAGTATATAAATCACTGATCTATCTTCATTGTTTAGGATTACGGTAGAAACTTCTGGCATACAGTTTTGTGAGTATGCTACTGCATCAGACAAGTTACACAAGAACTTGGAAAGTTGCGCACGTTTCCACCTAAGCTAACTTCAATTCTCAACTTTTTACAAGTATCCAAAGCTTTTCAAATGTCCTAAGTGTACTTTCAAGAAATATCAAAAAAGACAGCTGTCATGGAGCTCTTGACTAACTTATGAAGCTTTACGGTTTAGAGCAAACCTCATATTTAAAGTGATTGACTTTGTTGAGTTTCGTGTAAGAACTTTCAACTGGCTTGGCTATTTATAAAGCAGAATAGGGTCCTTTATGGCTCAAGATTTCCTTCAAATTTTCTACCGTGATCCTACAGCAATGAAGAGAGATTTCTGACTCGCTCCATACTGTGAATTTGAGTTCTGCTATACAATATGATGTATGAATAGAACTAAAACCTTATGTTAGTGATTGACTTTGTTGAGTTTCGTGTAAGAGGTTATTATTAAAGGTTTAAGACGTTTTTTGAAAATTCTATTGTAGCTATTATACTTTATCTTGATTTAGCTGTACTCTGCAAAAAAATCATATCAATTAATGGACACTGCATATTCGAGGCTCCTTTTGCAGACTTTTCCAAAATTAATAGGCAAGAATTGTGGCCAATCAAGGTCCATTCACTGTTTGTTTCTTTTTTTCTAACGCACCTTGTTAGAATATTTCATATATCCAAAAACAGACTTAGCTACAGTTATTTGGTATCGAATAGTAATTACATGCCCTTCTTGATTGGAAAGTCCTCGTAGAGGGTAAGAAGGAATGTGTACATTACAATCCATCTACTTTTCTTGCGCACAAGAACATGTAATTGCTGGGATGACAATGCACGTTTCCCGTATTGCACCAAAATTGTATTGTCTTTGTCTTTATATTCTAGCTCTAGGCGTTTTCTACTCACAAAGACAAGATTTTTCTTAGGGTGACATATGGCTTGATACTTGCTTGTCCTTGGCCAATCGCGAGCATGGTTTTCGCTTGGAAGCCAATGGAAGCATAACCATAGTGGACTCACATGCGTTTTCAAACGAAGTTCATGCTGTGCTGCTCGTTGGCTCTCCGGTCTCTGTCTCAATGCAGAAAACACTAGTCAGCTCAAGCGGAAAGAACGGAATTCGGATAGAAATCTCTCCAGACAAGTTCACCACAATCAAGGTAGGCGCAGAGGATTATTGAAATTTAGAGAAGTTTAAGTTATGAGTATTCAGATTCAAGGTGTAAATCTCACTGGTCATTACTATAGTGCTGCTATTGAAGTTGAAGATGCCACCGACATGGACTTCGAGATCAGTTGTTGTCTCATCACTGATAATTTTAACGGCGGTATCAGTTTGGACGGCATCACCGGTAATAGTACGGTATGTAATTCTGATTTAGAACGCACCAGTTCTAATGCGAACTTCCAGGTAAGTATCCTTGGATCAAACTTCACGCGAAATCGCGGTAGTATCCTATCGATACCGCTCATTCGAGACAGTGACGTCATTCTTCATGGAAATTCATTCACAGCAAATCAGTTGAATAACTTTGGTGAACATGAGGCAGTTGTGGACATAGCAACATTTGCAGAAGCTCCAGGTGATGACCTTTACTGTTAGTTTACTACTGTTTGTTTACATAGAACCGACATCACTTTCGAGTGATAATAATAGTTAGTAACATCAACAATCAGGATCGAAAATTCATGTCGAAGACAACGAGTTCGAGCAGAATACTATGAACAATGTCCTGGAGTTGCGACATCTAGGAGGTACAGTATGTCTCTTGCCGAGTTTTTATGGCGTAAAGACTAAGCGCAAAGACGCATCCGCATCGCGAGCGCGTGCCGGTATCCGCGGCAAAGCTAACGCCTGTGAACGCTGCGCTCGGCCTAATGAGATGGAAGCAGCGTTGAAAGAGGGACGCTATGTTTGAGACATACGATATGTATGTTACAGAATGAAATATGGATTGGCAAGAAATAAATTATTCCAAATTCAAAACCCCACTTTGATAATCGAAAATCTGAGAATTTCAAAAAACATTCTTTTAGGACGATCAGTGAAGGTGTTGATAAGTAAGAACAATTTTGTCGCTAACCTTGCAAAATCCGTGGTCGATCTTGATATGCCTGGAGGAGAGATCACAGGCAATTACTTCAGCAATGTACAGGTAATGAATGCTGCATTGAGAATGGATACTGTATCAGAAAAAAGTACATTTATTGTTCTGCTGCCTTCTACATAACCTCTTCAGTCTTCTTGCGAAATCTCGCGCGCAATACCTGTGCATATGGATGCAGTGGAGAATTACTGGGGACACGACAATGAGGCTGATGTGGGTTTTTTTCTGATCACTTTGTCTGAAATTACAGGTAAAGGTCAAAGGAGTGCTTTACAGTTCCTACCTCGACTATGTGCACTGAATCGTACTATGAATTACGAAGTCATTGAAGCTGAGGATATGGAGGACGCGCATGGAACAACGGCAAAGACCACGACTACAGTAGCCGTGCAGCACACTGTAGACGGTAGTGACACAGTGCTGCAGCCGATAATGCGAGCAAGAACTGAGAGTGGCAGCATTGAAGGAGTAGTAGTACCCGCTGTGGAACCAGGTGCTAGGATTGACAGCAGTAGCGTGGAGGGAACAGAAACACCATCCGAACCAAGTCCCGAAACAGCCAGCATTGGAGGAGGAGAACCATCGAAACCAGAAAGTGACAGCAGCGCTGATGAAGCAGAGGAACCATCGAAACCTTCACTGCAGCCATTTGAGAATACTTACAATCAAGTGAAAGCGATATCAGAGCCGTATAGGTAGGTCAGAAACTTAGCTGCTCTACCCATTACTTTCCTACCATACTACGGTGCATTGCAGTATCAACTCGGAGGTTGCAGTTTATCCTGGTCAAATCGTCATTGTAGAGCCTGGAACACAATTTGAATTCGCACCCGGTATAGGAATTACTGTGCAAGAAAGAGGTAGCGTGATTATGACCATATAATTTGGGTATAATCCAATAACTATGCTGTAATCATGCGTTATGCTCACCCTGACTTCGATCAATGGTGTTTTTCCACGAATACTATTCATTTGAAAAATATCCCTGCAGGAAAACTGTATTTGAAT